AAGCCGAGGATGCGTTTCTGCAGGCCTTACAGTTTATTTGTTTCAATCCTAAACGCAGTCGTTGGCAATCCCGTGCGCAACATGTCTGGGCAGGCTATTGATCCTGAACTGCGTCCGCACTTTTCACCCTTAAACAAGCTCCACAGTATAGCATGATACCTTGTGTCGGCGTGACCCTTTTAGCCAGCCAACATCATCCCCACTGAGACATCAGAGATATTAGAGGGCCCTCGACAAACCCGAAAAGGCTGACCGGTCCGCTTCCAAAAAACCCTTAAGACTATAGCCTCTGGCGGTTCCCTCCCTAAAATTGGGACTTCCGACTTTTGGACTCCAAGTTCAACCGCATCAAACAAATTTGAAGAGGCCCAGCGGGTCCACTCAAAGTGTTCGGCCTTGATCATGGTCGAACCATTAAATGGGCGTGTCTTTTTTGGGGGAGCTTCCCCCCCAACAAAAATTGGTGGTTTGCCTTTTGTATTTCCTGTAAGCCAACCCCAAATATGGTACCATCCAAAAGGACACCCCCAAATCAGATCTGTGCTTCCCCATGCTTCCCTGTTTCAGGTGTCAGGGTCCGTGTAACTCAGCTGTTGCATTCTCACTTGCCACTTGTCAAGGAAGCCATTTGTGCAACCAACCCTGTCTACCCCCCCCCCCCACAAAACACAAGTAAAGAATCGATCAAAGACACCAACCATTAAGTCCTTTTGATCTCCCTTTAAACCAGGCAATGGTTGCTCAAACTACAGCCGCAACCAGCTCAAGGAATACCCACCCCCGGTAAAGCTTGGAATTAGCGAAGGCTGACACCTAGAATTCCGTGCAATGTCCTTTTTGTAGGGACTTGCCAGAAAAAGAAGTCAATTGAGGTAACAACCACCCCTCTCATTGAGGTAGGGGATCCAAGGAGCTGTTCCTCATTTCTGGGGGCCTGTGGCGCGACGCCTTTGCGCTGCCCTCTGGTTTCGCCTTCTGCGCCAAAGCTGACGATCCAGACCTTCCGCGGCTGCTTCAGGAGCCTCTTGTGTGTTTTTGTGAATGTGTGAGTGTGTCTCTGTGTGTGTGTGCGTGTCTCTCTCTCTCTCTCTCTCTCTGTGTGTGTTTCTGTTCCTGTTTCTGTAGAGAGAACCAAAAGGAACACTATTTTGGGAGGTACGGCCCATATTGACCCATAGCCTTTTGTTGGAGTGGGACGGGGGCAGGGTGCCTTCTGGGGCCCAGCAGCGGGCTTTCTTTCTTCGCGCGGCCTTCGGATTCGGTTGCTTAGAACGAATACAAATTGGAACCCTAATAAGACCAGGCCAGGGGGGTTTGGGGGGTTCTTGTGACCGGTGGGCAGACCCACCGTTAAACTGCCAGACCCTCGACCATTGTGAAGAGGAACCAACAGGAGGTTGCTTAAACAATACTTGTTAGCTTGTTAGGCCTGTTGAAACGACGGGGTAGACCCAACCCTGGTTCTTGTCCGTTGTGCAGCTTGCAGCTTGCCCAAATGGGGACAGAGAGTGGGAGCATCTCAGATGATCGTTTGAAGTGAGAAGCATTTGAAGTGTTCAGGCATGCCGCCCAGCCAAGTGTTTTGGGCACAGCAGTCAGGCAACATGCAGCGAAGGCATATGAACAGCATGAACAGCTCTAAGCACCTCTCTTTGCGTGGCAAGCAAGAGTTGTGTCTTGGAAGTTCCCGCGTAAGCAAAGCCCTGCACCGCGTAAGCGCTTTTTGGGGACACATGCTGCGAAAGCACCCGCGCAAGCTTTGCTTCGCAACTGCTTGCAAAGCTTGTTGAATGCCAGGGGCTTTGCAGTTGGATTTTCAACCACCATTGTTACATTGTTACCGCACGTCGGGTTCAGCAAAACTAAGGGGTCCGGGCGGGAAAGTAGTCGGAAGGAAGCACGCAAGGTTTGCGTAAGCTCGCCTAAGCCCTTCCTGAATCTGCAGTGAACAGGTCGGCCACATAAAGAACGCTAAGCAAAAGCGCTACAAAGCGCAACCCCCACAAAGAACAACAGTGCCAAGTTCGTTTGCCCGCAATGCGTCATCAACTTCCGAACAGTGGCGTCTGCATAGAAAAAGGAGCGTAAGCAACGCAGACGCTTGACAACCTCGCTGACAGCCACGCAAGTGAAACATACAAGCGAAGCACTAGCTCTTGCGAAAGCAACTTGCCACGACATAGAGACTCATGTCATGTGTGATTTCCGATTGCTCAGGGATGACAACATGCACATCCATTGCCATAATCAATTAATTAGCATGATTATGGCTTTGTCCTTTTGGTTCTTTGTCCATTTTGCCCAAGTGAACTTTTGGCAGGGATCTGTTTGGCTAGGCCTACTGCCCTGACCAGCTAGCCATCCTCGATGAGTTCAAAAGGCTTTATGGCTTCTGATGCCTAAAGTGGCCTCTTGTTGGGTCACTGTGTCCGAGCCAGAGCGCAAGCCACTTCCTGCTGGTGACAAGGCCGCCCACGAGGCCGAGCGTTCCAGACACGATGCCGCACAAGTTGACTGTGGCTCTGCGTCCACAAGTCCAGCGAGGGGCAACTCGTGGAGAACCTGCTGAAGGGTGATGCGGGCAGTCGCTGATTCGCTGCAAGTTCTGGAGATGAAGGGCTTCTTTGAGACTTATCAGAAGTTCACCGGGTGCAAGAGACATGGGAGGATCTGAGCTGGGCGGTCTTTAAGATGCCTGCCGCGTCTGGGCGGCACAGCCGCGAAGGAACTGGTTGAATATCTAGTTTGCTCTTGGCATCACTAGACATGTGCCAGCACATCTGGCATCTTTGACGAGCTGGCCGCCTGTTTGGCGCGTGCCTGGGCCGGAAGCACAAAGTGACAAGGAGGCGCGCGCGCCTGTGCGGTTTTTGGGCGTCCAAGCGTGGAGTTTGCCTCGTGGCATGGGCGCCCTTGTTCCCACATGATCCAAAGCAAGTGGCTGTCTGACGGCCGCAATTCTTCTGCTGCAGCTGTTGCTTGTCATGGGCTCTATGGTCGTTTCGAGTTTCCCTTCGGACCTCTAAAAAGTGCCCTTAAATACCAACGTGGGTGATTCAATGAAGCACGTTCCCGGCTCATGACCCCTTTCGAGACCTCTTACCCGGTCTTACCCGGCCCCTTCAGTCCTTGAAAACAACAACCATTCTCAGAGCCCGAGAGCCTTAGGGTTCGAAAACAGTTTTTGCTCAGAGGATGTTCAGCCCTCCCCCGAAACAAACAAAAATGCAAGCAACTCATTGGAGAGCCTTAGGCTTCGCAAACCATTTCCCCTCTTTAAAACCCTTGAAACCACCAAACTGTTCACTTCCCCCACCCTGCCCCCCCCCCCCCCTCCCCCCCAAAAAAAAACAAAACACACAAGACACCCACATGTTCACTTCCCCTCTCCCTCCCCCCAAACCAAAAACCACATATGCGCAACAACTACAAGCCCCCTTGGAGAGCCTTCGGCTGGAGGGTGAAAAAAATACAAAGCCCACACAGACTGAGCCCGGGGCTCTCCTTCGGGCCCAAGAGACACAAGGCTCGTGGCCGGAATGGCCACGGTGACGGCTCTGGGCTTCCAGGCGCGTCTCGGATCGATCGCGACGAGAGATGCATCGTCAACCGGGGTCACGTTGGGGGGGAGGGGAAGCGCTTGCAGGATGTGAAAGACCTGAGGTGAAAAGTTGAAAAAGAAGAGTTGCAGGCCGCCAGGTTTTAGCTTCCATTTTGCTGAAAATAACAATAAATATATTTGTTGTTGAACCCTGCTGGGTTTCAAAAGAGTACATGTTGGTGTTGCCGAGTTGAACGTTGACCCCATAGAAAAAGTTCAAGTCCTTCAAGAAGAAGTTGATCTTCCAGGTACCGCCCCGCAGGTGCTATGTTAGTGGGAAGAAGGGTGGCGGAACAACCCCGGGTTACTACCCACCGAGCGATTCCTCCCAGACCATCCAAGCAGTCCAGTGATGTGTTTCCATGTTTGCCCTCAGAGGGTTTTAGTGAGGCGTTTTCATCGGAAGACTTCCAGTGAAGGCTCCCTTTTGAAAAGGGCGCCCTTGTTTCCTCATCGCTGGTCTGGAAGTCTTCGTGAGACCTCCAAAATTGGCTTCAGTTCAGGTTTCGGACACTTCACAACTTTCTCGGAAGTTGGATGGTGGCTACTTTTTGTCGTTTGCTAAGCCCGGAAACCACCATGAAACCCTAAAAGTGAGGTCCATTCAAATCGTTGTGCTTCTCCACTTTGCTTTGTTTTTTGTTTTTTTCCCGCCGCCCTTTACCTGGAAATCCCTTTTCAGAGTCAACAAGTTGCAGCTGTTTAATTTGCACAGACTCTTGAGCGAAGCTTGATTCACCTTCAACCATCTGTATATAACTACTTGGTGGCGTTTTATGGGTCGCGTGAGGCCTCCGGCATTCAGAGGGGACTTGCCATGCACTCAAAGCAGGATGCGTCAGGCTGAAGGTCTTCATGTTTGCTTAAACTAGGTTTCCCAGGATCGTGCCCTTTCACCATTTTTTTTTTGGGGGAGGGTTCCCCTAGTAAAAAAAACTACAGAAAAAAATGGGTACCCTTATTCTAACCTCTCCACTGGAGGACGTAGTAAAGGTTCTAGACAAGCGCTCTTTTGCAGGCCTTGTTGCTTTTCATCGGGGCTTTCGGTTTCCTGTGGCGAGCAAACTGTTTTGGTCGCATGAGGCCAGGCTTGCCTGTTCGTCGAGTTGCGTGAGACCTGCTGTTTGCGAATGCATCCTGGAAAGCTCAGCAAGAACCTAGAGCATCCCTGTAATTTCTCTTTGACCAGTCAACCCGGGACATAGAGCCCTCCGATTTGGGGGGTGTTCCCACAAAAACTTGCTGGTTCTCAGGGAACGAGACATGGAATGACCCCCCAACCCATCCTGTTTTTTTCCTTTCACGGAGTCTTCCAGTTCATTCAGCCCCAAAAAGACCTTTTTCGCAGCAGCGAGAAAAGGGGGACACAAAGAAAACACCTTTCTATCCAACCAGGGCTGCTATCCGTATCGATCCGCATCGATCCAGGGCTTGGACCAATGGACCAGTGGCCTCCTCAGCCGAAGCTTCGAAGCTGCCAAACGCCTGTGGCTCTTGTCTGTTGGCTGGGAGTTTTACCACCAACAAGGAACACTGAAATCCATGTTGGGGGTCCGATTCCTAAAAAAGACACACCCAGATTCAGATAGCTGATTTCTTCGAAAGAATTCTCTCCGATCTGTTCAATGGCTCAAGCTAAATCTATGCTGTGACTATGCGGAAGCAGACAGAATAAGATCCATGTGTGTGTGTGTGCGTCAATCAGTTGTTTGCTCTACGCATTCAAGGGGTTCCCTCGTCTTGACACCCGCTGGGTCCAAAGGACATTTTTTGTTGACTTTGTTTGATGCCAGTCTTTGCCTAGGTTTGCAGCCGTTGGTCAAACCTCAGCTTTCATAGATTGTGTGTGTGTACAATTGGCATCTTATGATGTGTCTATACGTTATTTGTATGATCAAATGTCTGTGGTTATTGAAGATCAGGATCACAAGATACCACCAGTGTTGACCTTCTTGGCAGGGGTCCCGAATTAAGTATGGAGGGGTATTTATTTTAGGATTTTTTTTCGTGTTTTTTTGGGATTTTTTTTCGCTTTTGGCTTCTTCGCTTTTGGCTTCTTGGCTTCTTGGCTTCTTGGCTTCTTGGCTTCTTGGCTTCTTGGCTTCTCGGCTTCTTGGCTTCTCGGCTTCTCGGCTTCTTGGCTTCTTGGCTTCTCGGCTTCTCGGCTTCTGGGCTTCTTGGCTTTTTGGCTTCTTGGCTTCTTGGCTTCTTGGCTTCTTGGCTTCTTGGCTTTTCGGCTTCTTGGCTTCTCGGCTTCTGGGCTTCTAGGCTTTTCGGCTTTTTGCTGGTTTATGCGGCTTTTGGTGGCTTTTTGGCTTTTCGCATCCTCTGCATTCCCAGTTCCTCTTCGGCAGGTGGCTTTTTTCCGACATCATGGGGGGGGCTGCCGCCCCCCCCAACCCCCCCGCTACGTTTTAGATTTTCTGCAGAGATTTAATTAGTTGCACCCCTACTTGAATCATCAATTCTTCGAACATCATGGGGGGGTTGCACCCCTAGTTGAATCATCAATTCTTCGACCATCATGGGGGGGCGGCCTTAACCCCCCCGCTACTTTTTAGACTTTTTGCAGAGATTTAATTGCACCCCTATTCAAATCATCGCTTCTGCAAGCAACATCGTGGGGGGGGCTGCCGCCCCCCCCCCAACCCCCCCGCTACTTTTTATATATTTTTTACAGGGATTGACATGGCCTCCTACTTGAATCATCATTTCTTTGACCCCGTCACACGATTTGTTGGTGATGCTAGGGATGTTGGTGGGACATGCGGGGTATATTTCGCGAGAACATGCTGTAAAATACGACACTTTACTGGCCCGGCAGAGATTGAATTGCACCCCTGTTTGAATCATCACTTTTTCGAGCGTCCAATTTCGCGAGAAAATGCTGCAAAATACGACTTTTTAGGTAATCTGTGTAGTCCGTGTATGTTTGTATGTATGCATTTCTTCGAACATCATAGGGGAAGCCACCCCCGCCAACCCTCCCGCTGCCTTGTAAATTCTATCACACCCTTTCTTGAATCATTGCACCCCTGCTTGAATCACCACTTCTTCCGACATCATGGGGGGGGCTGCCGCCCCCCCCAACCCCCCCGCTACGTTTAGATTTTCTACAGAGATGCACCCCTAGTTGAATCATCAATTCTTCGAACATCATGGGGGGGGGCTGCCGCCCCTCCCAACCCCCCCGCTACTTTTTAGACTTTTTGCAGAGATTTAATTGCACCCCTATTCAAATCATCACTTCTGCAAACAACATCGTGGGGGGGGCTGCCGCCCCCCCCCCAACCCCCCCGCTACTTTTTATGTATTTTTTACAGGGATTGACATGGCCTCCTACTTGAATCATCATTTCTTTGACCCCGTCACACGATTTGTTGGTGATGCTAGGGATGTTGGTGGGACATGCGGGTATATTTCGCGAGAACATGCTGTAAAATACGACACTTTACTGGCCCGGCAGAGATTGAATTGCACCCCTGTTTGAATCATCACTTTTTCGAGCGTCCAATTTCGCGAGAAAATGCTGCAAAATACGACTTTTTAGGTAATCTGTGTAGTCCGTGTATGTCTGTATGTATGCATTTCTTCGAACATCATAGGGGAAGCCACCCCCGCCAACCCTCCCGCTGCCTTGTAAATTCTATCACACCCTTTCTTGAATCATTGCACCCCTGCTTGAATCACCACTTCTTCCGACATCATGGGGGGGGCTGCCGCCCCCCCCAACCCCCCCGCTACGTTTTAGATTTTCTACAGAGATTTAATTAATTGCACCCCTAGTTGAATCATCAATTCTTCCAACATCATGGGGGGGGCTGCCGCCCCCCCCAACCCCCCCGCTACTTTTTAGACTTTTTGCAGAGATTTGATTGCACCCCTGTTCGAATCATCACTACCCCGCTCAGTTTTTCTTAATTGTTTTTTGGTATTTTTTTTTGCTGGGATTGAAATGCCCTCCTGTTTGAAGCGTTATTGTTTTGACCCCGTCAACCCGCCAGCTACATTTTTGGATTTTGTTACCCACGATTTGTTGGTGATGCTAGGGATGTTGGTCGGACATGCGGGGGATGTTGAAAACGATGCTGGGGATGTTGACGAGCTAGTGTAAAATGCGTCAATTTCGCGAGAAAATGCTGTAAAATACGACATTTTGCTGGCCCGGACGAAAAACGAAAAAAAATCCCAAAAAAAAACAAAAAAAACACCCAAAATAAATCCGCACCCATTAAGTATTTGGGCTCTGACAAACGGGGTTTGATCGCTTGCGCCAAAAAGCGCAATCGCGTTTGTAGCATCCTATTGGTGGCCCCATTTAGGGTCGCCCAATTTTGATTGGTCCTGGTAGCTCTGGATCCCACATGCCGCATGATGAGCGTGTGCCCAGGTCCGGACACACACAAGATCTGGCGCCACCGTCAGTATTGCTGCGATCGATGCGGGTGCCAAACTTCATGTAAAGGATGTGTGGTGTCTAGCATCTCATTCAGGGTCTTCCAAGACATGTGGCGTACTGTCTTCGAAAAACTGTTCGCAACAACCTGACCCCATAAACCTTTTTTTTTAGACTGAGCATGTGGAGAAGTGAGGAATATTTAGACGGTCTGGGACGAATCGCTAAATGGCTGGTAACCCTAGCTACAGGGGACTTAACCATTGTAAGTGGGTTACAACCGGGGTTACTACTTAGCGATTCCTCCCAGACCACCCAGTACAATCCCGGGGGAGTGTTCACCTGGTGCCCAATTTTCCGTCCACGCAGGCAAACTCAACCCCAGCTGGAGAACTGGCAGGCGAAAGGGCCGGATCGTGCCTCAGCGTCGGAGGCTGTGTGGGTCGTGATTTACAGTTGGTTTTGGATAGCCTTTTAAGGTTGCTTTCTAGGGAAGCATGGGAAAACTGTTGCTTTTTTGGGTGGGAGGACCAGATTTTAAGACCAGCGGTACCCCACCGGCCAGGGATTGCAGAAAACCCACGGCACACGACCCTTTTTCATGGTGTCGACACAAGGATCCAATTCATCTTCGATGAGTCGATCCCATTTCCCCCAAAATGGCACCCACATTCATATCTTCAAAGCCGAGGGGAAACTCCTCGTCTCCTTTTTAAACGACCCCAAGGGTCCGATTCTCCGCGTTGCAATCCGCGTAGCCCATCTCCGTGGAGCTGGTGATCGACGTGTGCCTAAGCCAAGTGAAGATGCTCAAGAAGCACTGGGACGAGGCTCGATTGTCCGCTGCATGCGGTGGTCACTGGCTCCAACGTCCACCCCAAAACGATCCCAAAACGTCCAGCTGTTTCCCATGTCCAAATTTTCTCAAGTACTGTCCATTTTCTCAGGGGTTGGGGGGTTCTAGCTTGTGAGGCATGAATATTTCTTTGAGATGGCGTTCTGTTTTTTTGAAACCTGTCGAAGGGTCATTTCGAGGATGTCACTTTGAACTGCGAAAGGGTGGGACAGACCAAAGAAGCAGAAGCAGCCTGAGCTAGGCTACGACCAGTAAAACGTTGCCTTGTTTGATGTGTTGCTCAGTTGTTCAGTGGCGCCCTTTTTTGCCTTTTTTTTGTGGTGGCTGCCCCACTAACAATGGTCTTCCCCAAAAAGGGTTCCCTTTTTTTCCAGGGTCACTGAACAACTAAGGTTGGGGTAGATCTGGACTGATGCATAGATTCTCGACAGGCGAAACCGGTATGTACACTTCGGGGTGTAAGTGTTAAGCTGCTTGGCGAAGGCATGCGAGCTGGCCCACATCGGAAAAGGGGAGCAGGGCTTGCTTCATTTAAGGAGCTTCACGAGCCGCGACGGGCGGCATTGGAGTTTTGGCGGTCGCCTTTTAAAATCAACCCTAAGCATCATTGGACTCTCAATTGGAAGGGTCTGGATCTTCAATTACGTATTTGTCAGGGGGATCGACACCCCTTTAGAATAAATAACAAGGGGCGCCCAGCTTGAGCTTGTTCCTCATCGCTGGAATCCTGCTGTATTCAAATATGCCAATGTGGATGGAACACATCCTGCACGAGTTGATAGGTGTGGTTTATCTCTGTCAATGTTTGTAGGGTTTCATTTTCATCCCAACTGATTCAGGAATTTGTCCCGAAGTATTGCCCAAGAGACAGCCCGAGGCAGGATCCAACTTGCAAGGCATGAAATCTCGGCAGTTTGGGATTGCTTTGGTCCGGGTTCAAAATCAATCCCTCCTGATGCATTGCGTGGTTTCCCTTGTGTCCATGAAGGGTGAAAATGGGATCGCCTGACATGTTCAACAACCCAGCTTAGGCCCCCGTGTCCAATGCGATTTTGGGTAACCTTTCTCCCACTAGCATGGCACCTCATAAATGGTCCCTGTAAAAGGAAATTGATCTTCCAAGCACCCTCCCACAGCTGCTATGTTA